GGTTGTAGCGTTTTTCAGTTGTATATTGATAGCTATGGTAGCTCCTTATCCTTTTGGAAGGATAGGATCTCAACTAACCCACACTATTTCTTGCAATGAATGTAGCAGTGATGATCCGTTCTTGTTTAAAATTAAAAGATCTGATTTCGGTTTTAGGCCTTCTGAGAATATCCTCAAACGATCGGTCATTTTTACAGCAAAATATGTGACAATAATTTATTTGGTTTCAAAAACTGTAAAAACTTCGTTGAATTTGTATTCTGAGCCTATCACGCTAACAGGTTTATATGGCACTTTCGAGATTCTATTGAAATAACGTACGTTGGATAAATGTCTCTTGTTTCCTTCGAATACATTCACAGTATTTTACCTTACTGTTAACGAGATCACTATTTTGCGTACATATTCTTGCTGTCATGCAACCTGATTTTAGTTGTTAGCCTTTGTGTCCTTATTAATAATACTAATCAGTATCACTGATCTCTGAAAATGTGGGTCATAGTCTCACCAAAGTTATTTAAAATGTATGCATATCCAAACACTCCTGTAATCCACAGTCGTTGTCTTCATAGGCTGTTGGAAGATCTTGTAGTCGGTGCCACAGGGTTTTATTCTTATAAACAGTTTGGGCAGTGGTCTGGAACTGTAGTGTTCATCTAAAACAAACGAAAAAGTGAAAACATCGGTGATAGGCAGCTGCAAATAGCTATTTGGCTCATCAATAAGAAAAGTATTAATAATCCAACTCGATTGAAACACAGTTGATAATTTCAGAGCTTATGGTGGATTATTATCAGGATTGCTAACATTAGGTTGCGTTTCCCAGGGCTATCCACTTCTATTATTTTTGCTTAACCTTGTCACAGATACTAGGAGATAACGTTCTTATTATCTGACTTAGAAGAGGCTATTGTAGCAAGAGATTCTTTCGTTAACTCATAATGTGCAGATAACATGGTTCTGTTAAGTAATTGTAGTCTTAGTCTCTTTAGGGAACAATGTAAGAATGCATGAGATGCGTTTCTTCTCTTTACAAAGTGTTGCTTTGAAACTGGCCTCCATCATTGCTTAATTAATGATAGAGAGTGAAGTAGTTGGGTGCTTCGACCATTTCACTAATAGCAGTCTTATTAGCTGTCATAGACTGTTCTCTCAACAACCTTTTCATGCTTTGAGTACGGTTGACCATCGCCAACTTGCGTCACTTATGTTTTAAACAACATATAATCGAAGAATGAGTTTATTGGGTAGCATTTCTCTCCTTCCTTCTTGATAAATGCAAAGCATGCCTATTAAAAACAAAAGATATTTGTAGATTATTAGTATCCAACCATGGTCATCTTAAAGCATCATCCTTCTGTTTTGGATTCACCGAGTAAGCGATGCCTGGATTAGCCATAGATTACTTGGTGAAGATGGCAAGTTGATCGATAAATATGTGAATTTTCGTTGACATCTGCACAACCATCGTCTACATCAAATAACGATATTACCTAGTAAGGAGTAAAGAAGGAGCGATCTTACACAGTTTTGTTCTTCCTTTTCCTACTACTGATACTGTTAATACTTTTGCTTCTTTGGGACTTATCTTGGTTCTTTCTTATTGCTAAGCTAATGGTATGTAACAGTGTGAGGCTATGCATATATATCAAGCTTTACATTGCATAAGACTAGTTGATTTGATCTTCTTAATAGCTGAAAGTTAAGTGCTTCATTCACTACCTGTTAGTTATCTGTTTATAAAAAGTTGGAGCATTTTATAAACAGCTCTACTCTACCAGTCGTCACCTAAAAGCTTCTAGTAATTTGACGTATTCTCTTGAGTGACCGACGTCGCCTGAATATCAGATTGTACATGTATCATAGACCTAGGATTCAACGAAGAAAACAATCTTTATGATGAGAGCATTTACTTAAGCTGTTTATTCTTATTTATAGTTGTTTGATAAATATATGAGACTATAGATAAATGGAAGAGATCGCTTCATAAAATAATCCAGGATTTCAATGAGAAATTAGGTAATAATCATAAAGTTAGATAAGAATAGGAAAATTAGATTCTTTTACGTTTCATAAAGATGAGATAATTTTCCTTGATAAATGCTCTCTAGTGTTATTCAGCATCATATATTAAGACAAAGAAATGTGTTGTTCTCTGTCCCTGTCTTAGTTCAAACCGTATCGATCTGTATCTTTCACTAGTTTGAATACTTTCAGCATTATAGGAATTTTTGTTATCTCCAATTAGTTGATGATTGGCGAAGTCAGACAGATATGCTGATAGAGTTGATTCTATTTACTTCCAACTCAGCTATCTGTTCAGATTGATGTTCCTTTATATGTATGCATACGATTTCGTCTTGTCCTCTTGTCTAGTGGAGGCTCTTAACAGAAACTTTTAAATTTTTTCAACATACTTTTCTGTTTTCGTGCATAGATAAGTTACTTTAACAATATTATTGTGCTTAGTTATCAAGACTCAATTGGACTTGTCGGATCGAGCATTGTGCTCATCTACACATTAGCTATTCAGCTCGTAACTTACACATACGTCGGTCATGTGCATACGGTTAGGGTTCGTTCGGGCTTTATCAATCGGCACTTAATATAACTAATTTGTTTTTGGAACACTTAGAACGCATACCCGTCTCATCATAAAGTACAGGTGAGCATTATGTTATTTGACCTTTGGCTATTCTACCACTATGGTTAGAGACCTTGAATGACATGGCTCAGAATCGTTTGCAATGGCGCAGATGCATCCATTGTTTGTATTCTATCATATTCTATCTAAATTTCTAATGGCCTTTCTTCTGTCTTTAAATTGATTCCACTGGGATATACTTCTTGAATCATATCTTCGAACCTTTATCTTCTCCATTACCTCTAATACTCCTACTATGGAATTTGAATTAACAACTCCATCTCTATATGCTAATGTGGTATGATAAATTGAACTGATGTACGTACATACGAAGTTCTACATTGTTTTTTACACACACATATTCTACCACTATGATATGGGCGTTAAAAATCTGCGGTATCCAGATTCCTCAGATAAGTTTGCTTGATACATTGTTATCGATTTGATGGCATGGTCATTTAACAAGCTTTAGAGCATTAAACATAAACTCGTGATTCGGCCACCTTAATTTTCCAAATAGTCATCACTTCAAAAGCATGCTTAGATACGTTTGTACTAGTAGAATTGCTTTCACCCAAGATTAGTCTCGTTTATCACACTTTCATATCTCCATAGACAGACAGACAGATACAACGCAGAGCTTCGTACTTAAGTACATCAGTTCAGGTTGCCATGCCCCATCAGCAAAGAGACGCAACTGTCACTTCAAATCCAAGGGTGATAGCAATAATAGAAGTATTAGCAGTAGTGGAAAAGATTAGTGAGTGAAGATATGATTCGAGAAGTTTAATTCAGTAAGATAAATTTAGAAGGAGAAAGGTAGAGATTACGAGGGATGCAGAAGCTTAGAATTTCATAGAACACAAAGAGTGGATGCACCTGCGCCATTGCAAACGATTCTGAGCCATGTCATTCAAGGTCTCTAACCGTCGGTGACTTTCGTCTCGCGGACCCCAACCAGGTAGCCTGCACCTACCAACATGACTCAGTCCACTTGTCAGTGACTTCATGGATTTCTGCCATGTTTTGGTTTGGCCGCCCCTAGCTTTCTTCCAATCTACTTCTACACTGCAAAACATAGCTCGTCGAGGCAGTCGGTGGTTAGCCATACGTAACACATGTCTCAACCACCTCAACTGATGAAGTTTCAGTACTTCATCTATTGATTTGCCGTCCCTACCTAGAACTCGTTTCCTAACGACAGCATTGCTTATACGGTCATCGATGATCGAAGACTAGTAACCTACGAAAGTCCTATACTCTTAACGGACATGTTTCGCGTCCGTATGGTAGGACGGAGCGAACTGCTGCACAGTACACTCGTCCTTTGCTTAGCGAACGGATATCTCGCCTACGCTATATGTGATACAGGTTGGCATATATCTCCATAATGTCAAGATAACCTTTGATGTGTCATAAAAACTAGTGCAAACGAAATGCATTGTAATATTGTTCAGTACTTTTTATTTTAACATTATTATAGGAAGCTGAGCTTTATGATATGTCTAAAAAGCTACGAAAATTGGTCATTAACCAAGGATTTAAAGCTAATAGTGCATCTTTCCTTCCCTTTTTGTAATCCAACTTTCCGTATTTGGCATCCTTATTTATTGGTTCATTTCCCCTATGGCTTTTTATCTTTCAGTATTATCATAACATGGCTACTAATTCTTTACTTTTACTCTGAATAATCTTACCTCAGGACTGTTCACTTTTTCCATTCTTGTTTAACTTCGTCATTGACGTGCTTTTAGGAACGACACTTTCTTTGTCTGACTTTTCAGGAGTTGAACTTTTACTCGGAGATTCGCTAGTTGACTTAGAATATGCGGACTACGTAGTTTTACTTAGTGAAGACGCTGATAAAATGCAGTCTTCTGACTACCCTGAATAACAATGTAAGCATGCTCAGGATGCGATTCTCCCCGTCGAAATGTAAAATGCTGCTTCAGGATGAGGTTGGATTGGCACTCGAACTAGTGATAGGGAGCGAAGTAGTTGAGTGTGACGACCGTTTCATTTATCTTAGGAGTCTCATCAGTGCTGATGGCCTGATGACTGAAGGAATCTCAGCAGGAATACCAAAGGCTTGACTGGCTTTTGCCAACCTCCGTCAATTATGGCGTAGGTGAGATATCCGTCTGCTGACCAAAGGATGAGTTCGCTCTGTCATACTTTATGGGTGTGAAACGCAGCCACTAGGAGTAAAAAATATTCGTAGGTTACTAGTATTTGGTCATAGATACCTTCGAAGCATTGCTAATATATCCTGGGACAATCGAGTAAGCAATGCACTTGTTAGGAAAAGGGTACTAGGTATGGATGACGGATCAGTTGATGAAGTAGTAAAACATCCTCGGTTGAGGTGGTTGGGATATGTTTTACGTATGCACAACCATCAGCTTCTTCGACGAGCTATGCTTTGTGATGTAAGAGTAGGTTGGAAGATAGCTAGAGGCTGTCAAACTGAAACATGGCACAAATCTATGAAATCAATCACAACTGGATTGAGTCATATTGGTAAGTATCAACTACCTTGTTTGTGTCCGCGAGATGATAGTAATCGATGGTTAGAGACCCTCAATGATATGGCTCAAAACCCTTTTCAATGGCACACGTACATTCATTCTTTGTGTTCTCTCAAATCCTAACCTTCCGAAATCCTCATCACTTTTATATCTTTCTTTTTAAGTCTATTTCACTAGATTCTACTTCTTCAATAATATCTTTGAACCCTAATCTCTCCGATTATTGCTAATATGGGATTTGAATTAACAACTGAGTCTTTGTGCTAATGTGGTATGGCATCTTGAACTTATGCATGTACTTACTAAGTCCTACGATATAACCGACTGACCTAATGAACATGTAGTGTTGCATGTAGATGTAATGCCCGAATGTCAAATATCCTAATCTTTTATCTATTTGTACATTTGGGTAATACTTTTTGAGTTATAGCTTAAAGTAATATCCATTTGTTAGTCAATCAGCTACAACGTAGATCTTAGTAGGTATGTACATCAGTTCAAGTTGCCATAACATATTAGCACAGAGATTGAATTCAAATCCCATGTTAGTAAAGGAAGTCTTAGCAGTGATGGAGAAGATTAGAGTTCCGAAGTATGATGCCAGAAATATTTCACATTAAAATAAACTTATGAGGAAAATAATAAGATGATAAGGAACTCCGACGGTTAGGATTTAACAGAACACAAAGAATGGATGCACCTGTACCATTGCAAACGGTTTTGAGCCATGTCATTCAAGGTCTCTAACCATCGATTACTATCATCTCGCCGACACCAACCAGGTAGTCTACACTTGGCAACATGACTCAATCCAGTTGTCAGTGACTTCATGGATTTGTGCCATGTTTTGGTTTGGCAGCCTCTAGCTTTCTTCCAGCCTACTCTTACATCACAAAGCATAGCTCGTCGAGGTAGTCGATGTTTATGCATACGTAACATATATCCCAACGACCTTAACTGATGAATTTCCACTATTTTATCAACCGTTCTGCCATCTTTACCTAGTACCCTTCTCCTAACGACAGTATTTCTTACTCGGTTGACCCATGATACACGAACAATGCTTCAGACACACCTGTGATTGTAAACAAGCAACCTAAGAATATCTTTTACTCTGACTGGCCATCCTTCGCATCCATAAAGTAGGATGAAGAGAACTTCTGCGCAGTAGACTCGTCCTTTGGTTAGCAGATCGATATCTCGTCTACGCCATAAATGACGGAAGTTGACAAAAGCCATTCTAGCCTTCTGCATCCGTGCTGAGATTTCATCAGTCACCAGTCCATCAACACTGATGAAACTCCCGATATCAGTCAAGCGATCAACACGCTTGACTACTTCACTCCCTATCACCAGTTCAGGTCTCATCAGTGCTGATGGCTTGGTGACTGACGAAATCTCAGCACGCATACAGAAGGCTCGGTTGGCTTTTGCCAACCTGCGTCACTTATGGAGCAGGCGAGATATCCGCTCGCTAAACGAAGGACGAGTGTACTGTACGGATGCGAAACATGGCCGTTAAGAGTATCGGATTTCTGTAGGTTACTAGTCTTCGATCATAGGTGTCTCCGAAGCATTGCTCGTGTATCCTGGGACAACCGTATAAGCAATGCTATCGTTAGGAAACGAGTTCCAGGTAGGGATGGCAAATCAATAGATGAAGTAGTGAAACTTCATCAGTTGAGGTGGTTGGGACATGTAATACGTATGGCTGACCACCGACTGCCGTGACGAGCTATGTTTTGTGGTGAAAGACTTGGTTGGAAGAAACCTAGGGGCAGCCAAACCAAAACATGGCACAAATCCATGAAGTCACTGACAAGCGGACTGAGTCATGTTGGTAGATGTAGGCTACCTGGTTGGGGTCCGTGAGACGATAGTCACCAATGGTTAGAGACCTTGAATGACATGGCTTAAAATCGTTTGCAATGGCGCAGGTGCATCCATTCTTTGTGTTCTCTCAAATCCTGACCTTCATTGTTCTTCATCTCCATCTTTCTCTTTCCAAAGTTCTCTCACTGAATTATACTTCTTGAATAATATCTTCGAACCGTAATTACTGCTAATGCTTCTACTTTCTCTACCACTATGGGATTTTAATTGATAGAGTTGCGTCTCTGTGCTAATGTGGTACGGCAACTTGAAGCGATGTACTTACGTGCGAAGTTATGCGTTGTATCTATCTATCTATCTATCTATCTATCTAGATCAGGTGCCGATGCAAAACCATTTTCTTGTTCAGATATACTACTCATAACAGTAATGCTAATAATCAAAATTAAACTTTTCTTTTACCTTTTAGATCTAGAATGACTTCAGTTGAAATCAATTCACCTTCATATAAATTAAAATGGGAAGAAATGAATTCAATGGAAAATTCTTATTCTAAAGAAAAACCACATTATCCTACTAGTTCATTATCACCGAATTTACGACAAACTCAATTGAATTTCTCACCAAATTATCAATTCATAAAACTAACTGAGAAACAATGTCATCATCATAATGATGATTTTACTAGTAAGACGACTGTCAATCAATCGACTCAACATCATTCATCTACTCAAACCTCGATTACTTCACATGAACCATTGTCATTGTCAACTGTATCTTCAATGATTATTACTAGTCCTAATCGAATTATGAAACAAACTATTCTTACGGAAACTGGAATTTCACCAGTAGGTAATGTATTTAAGAAACCAATAAGGAAGAAAAAAGCTGGTACTAATAAAAAGTGAGCTGTGTGCTGATTGTGCTGATTACTATTGTTTTTTTCAAAATACATGATTATTGTAGATGAATAATAGGGAGTCTCATCAGCGCTGATAACCTGGTGACTGACGAAATCTCCGCACGGGTACAGAAGGCACGATTGGCTTTTGCCAAGTTGCTTCACTTATGACGTAGGCGAGATATCCGTTTGCTAATCAAAGGATGGGTGTACTGCACAGCATTTCACTCTTTTCTACTATGCGGGTGTGAAACATGGCCTTTAAGAGTAGAAGATGTTCGTAGGTTGCTGGTTTTCGATCATAGATGTCTTAGAAGCATTGCTCGTATATCGTGGGACAACCGAGTGAGCAATGCTGTTGTTAGGAAACGAGTACTAGGTAAGGATGGCAGATCAACTGATGAAGTGGTGAAACTTCATCAGTTGAGGTGGTTGGGACATGTGTTACGTATACCTAACCTCCGACTGCCTCGACGAGCTACGCTTTGTGATGTAGGAGTAGGTTGGAAGAAAGCTAAGAGAGGTGCCAGACCAAAACATGTCAGAAATCCATGAAGTCACTGACAAATGGACTGAGTCATGTTGGTAGATGTAGGCTACCTGGTTGGGGTCTGCGAGATGTTAGTCACCAATGGTTAGAGACCTTGAATGACATGGCTCAAAATCGTTTGCGATGGCACAAGTGCATCCATTCTTTGAGCTCTCTCAAATCCTAATCTTCTGGATTCGTCAGCACCTCTACCTTTGTCTTTCTAACCTTATACATTGAATTATGCTTCTTGAATAATATCTTCGAACCATAGTCTTCTTCATTACCATCAATACCCCTAATCTCTTTATCACTATGTGATTTGATTTGACCCCGACCGAAGCTGCTACCTTGACGTGGTGGTCGGGCTTGCCTATCGTGATGACCCAATCGAGCTATACTGGCTGGAACACATGTTCCTGCAGGTCCTACCATGCCAGGCAGGTCGATTGGAGAACGATGAGACTAAAAGCAGCTACCCAAGGTCTGAGGGCGAAGTCGTACTGCTGACTGCAGAGGGGTGTGACAGCAGTAAGGTGTTTCCCTCGGACAACCAGCATCTGCAGCGATGCTGCCTTCTCACAAGGAAGGAAGGGTTAGAAAAGGTCGGCCCTAAAAATGTCACACCTCCCCTACCTCACGGATTTCCGTCTCCTTGGGTAAGGGTGCCCACTAAGGGCCTTTAAGAACGGAGCTAATCCTCTAAATACCTTACATAAAAAGGCCGTGCGTGACCGGCCTCAAGCAGTTGTCCCTTGGACTCTGCGGTCACGCACCAACACTAATCCATCTTCCTTTTCAGGTTCGTCAAGAAACAACCTTCCACGGTGTGGGCAGCCGGGAAGTGATAACCGCCCTCATACCCGCAACAGCACACGAGACCAAATTGTTCAAAATCAAATCCTTCCTACATTCCCTAATACCTCTCTTATCTCCACAACTAACTCTTCTCACATTCATTTATTACAGTGCACAGCTAATGCAAACGATGCGAGTTTGCGAAACGTCGTTCCTGGTCTCATTAAACCCCGTTCCAAACTACATGTTGGAGCATTCAATGTACGGACATTGTGTCAAATAGGGCAACAGGCGTCATTAGCTAGGACTTTGGAATCTCGTTCCATCGATGTGTGCTGCGTCTCGGAAACGCGCATACAGGATCCGAGTCACGTCATACACTTGACCACACCATGTCAAGATAAAGAAGCAGCTCGATTTACCCTTCGTGTATCCGGTAGCCCTGATGCTGCTTCTAGGGGCCTCGCCGGTGTAGGTATAGCATTGAGTCGTAGGGCAGAACAATCTCTCCTTGACTGGATCCCTGTAGATAGTCGCTTGTGCGCCGTCCGACTCAACGGGACAGTAAGGACTCGGAAAGATAGGGACACTCGCCGTTGCCTCTTCGTCATATCAGCCTACGCCCCCACTGACTGCAGCCCAGATGATGTAAAAGATGAGTTTTACAGAAAGCTTTCGGACCTCCTCCAAAAAGTTAAGCGCTCTGATATAGTTATAATGGCTGGTGACTTCAATGCACAAGTAGGTAGACTAGGTGAAAATGAAAGACACCTAGGTGGATGTTACGGTCTCGCGGCTCAAAGAACAGACAATGGCGACCGTCTGTTGCAACTGTGCTCAGATAACCAACTATTTCTAGCAAACACTAATTTTAAGCATAAAGAAAAACACCTTTTGACTTGGCGACCCCCGAAGTCGTCTCAACGTTGGACACAACTAGATCATATCGCCATCAGCCACCGATGGAGGGGTTCGATAGAGGACTGTCGCTCGTTCTGGGGCACATGTTTAGATTCAGATCATGCTCTAGTGCGAGCACGTATTTGTTTGAGGCTTGCTGGACGTAGGAAAGACACCGTAGGGAAGCCTCTTAGGGCTTTACTTGATGATAATCAAGCTAAGAAAATATTTCAGGAGGAACTAGAAAAACAGTTAGGCGATCATGCAAGTGATTCCCATCCGGAGTCAGGTTGGAATGATATAAAGAAGGCTGTGGAAACAGCAGTGATATCTGCTAGCAAGGTAAACCATAAGGCTAGGATGAAGCAGTGGATTTCAGTCGCATCCACCCAACTGATGGATGCTCGAAAACGCATCCCACCTGACTCTGAACATGATGAAGAGCGTACTCAACTTAGGCGCAGACTTATAAAAAGCCTACGTAACGACCGTGAACAGTGGTGGGTGGCGAAAGCAAAAGCGATGGAAAAGGCAGCGGCGATCGGCAACACTAGACAACTTTTCCGCCTTATCAAAGAAACCGGTATTAGGAACCCGAATGTGAGTGAGACTATCTCGGAAAAGGATGGTCTTATTATCCATTCTCAATCTAGGAGGCTGGACCGATGGGCAGAACACTTTAGGGATCAGTTCAACTGGCCTTCAGCCACTCTTCGGTTGCCCACGATCTCCAGTCATCCTGAATGGCAAATCGATTTAAGTCCTCCCAGTTTAAATGAAGTTGAGAAAGCTATAGGAAATCTAAGGAGAGGTAGAGCGGCAGGTCCCGATAGGCTTACCCCTGAGATGTTTAAGGATGGTGGTCCAGTTTTAACGGTTAAACTGACCGAGATCCTAGGTAGAATCTGGGAAATAAACGTAATCCCATCTGACTGGTCTCAGTCGCTAATTGTCCCAATCTACAAGAAAGGACAGAAGTCCTCTTGTGACAATCACAGGGGAATAAGTTTAACTAATATAGTTTCTAAATTGTTAGCCTCGATTATACTTAGACGTCTAACTAGAGCTCGCGAAGAGCAGACTCGAGAAAACCAGGCTGGTTTTCGACCTGGACGTGGTTGTATAGACCACATCTTCACACTACGACAGGTCCTGGAACACAGACACACATTTAGGCGTCCGACAATAGTCGTGTTCCTGGACCTTAAGGCGGCATTCGACTCAGTGGATCGTGAGGTTCTGTGGCAGTGTCTGTCATTGAAAGGTGTACCAGAGAAGTACATTAACCTCATACAAGCACTCTACTCGAACACCACTGGTCGAGTGAGAGCATATGGCGAACTGTCATCTGAATTCTCTACATCAAGTGGTGTCCGTCAGGGCTGTCCACTCTCTCCATTCTTGTTCAACTTTGTCGTAGACATCCTCTTAGAGTTAACATTAAGCTCGTCAGATTTCTCAGGGGTTGACCTTCTACCAGGAAAGTCGCTTACTGATCTAGAATATGCCGATGACATAGTTCTATTCGGTGAAGACGCTGACAAAATGCAGAGTCTTCTGACTACCATAAGCAACAATGCAAGCATGTTCGGGATGCGGTTTTCCCCCTCGAAATGCAAAATGTTGCTCCAAGATTGGGTTTCATCGGCACCTGAACTAGTGATAGGGAGTGAAGTAGTCCAGCGTGTAGATCACTTCACTTATCTGGGAAGTCTCATCAGTGCTGACGGTCTGGTGACTGACGAAATCTCAGCTCGGATACAGAAAGCTCGATTGGCTTTTGCCAAGCTGCGTCACTTATGGCGTAGGCGTGATATCCGTTCGCTAACCAAAGGGCGGGTGTACTGCACAGCAGTTCGTTCCGTTCTCTTATATGGCTGTGAAACATGGCCGTTAAGAGTAGAAGATGTTCGTAGGTTACTAGTATTCGATCATAGATGTTTAAGAAGCATTGCTCGTATATCGTG